AAGTTCGGTCGGGCCCATGTGAGTAATAGACATAAATCGAAAATTTTCCGCAAACTTTTTTTAATTACAGCCACTTCGGATCGTAAACTGTAGTAGGTCCCAACATTGACCTATGTAGAACATTGTTCTATCTAAAACCTTCAAAATATGGAAAATAAGGCGGTACTTTAATATGAGAGCTATGTACAAATCTTGATCTAAATTTATAATTTTATGCATTTTCCCAAACCCATTTTCCATTTGGTTATTGCCTTCAGAGTACCGAAAGTCGGGTGGTACCGTTATATAGTACCTGTACCAAAGCGGTATAATTTTTTGGGGGGAGATTTGTCATCCCCTTAGAATAAAAAGTGCCTAAATGCCGAATAATTGAAGTACCGCTAATTGATGTATGGCTACCCTGAAACATGGACAACATTGAAAATATTCTGCAAAATGAGAATCCAAAATATAAAATTGTAGCCATTGGAGCCTTCGTTTGAAAAACGTGCCCACAGGACCAAAATAATGTTTAATATCGCTCCATGGAGGCTAAACCGAAACTTGGGCCCATATTGATAATTTTTCGAAATGATATTTATCACAAAAATAGAGCTACTCTAAAATGGACCAATATTGATCAATTTTAGCAGGAAGACTTCCTACCCATGGAGAACGCAAAATACAAAATTACAGCAAATTATGTAGAAAACCGTATCCACGGTCTTCAAAATAAAAATGACCGATATATATCATTTTTATTACCAAACCTTCTTGGAGTAGTAGCAATGTATGTGTACAATTTCAAATTCTGACGACGGCTAAATTGGCATAGAATTTTATTCTAATTAAAAATAAATGGGGTCTCAGGAGAATATTTTTAGGTGATGGAAACAAATTTAATATTCACCCACCCGCCTTGTGAAGGGTATACTCAATTTTTAAGAAATATATATATATATATATATATATCATTATTTAGAATAAAAAACTCTCTATAAAATTTTTAGGACTTTTATTTGGCACTTTTTTACATTTTTTAGCACTTTCTAGCACTTTTTTAAACCAAATCTAGCATTTTTATCAACAAAGTTTTGGCAACACAGATTGTCATTAATAGGGTATATAAAATAAGGATCAAAGGCCGAATTATGCGGCTAAAAGAAATGGCTAACATCTCTTTTTTCAAAAAATCGTCTATTTTCAACCACAAATCGTGTTACATAATAAGGAAGAACTTCACGAAATGTATTTATACTAGGTCATACGATGGCAATCATGCCCGCTATTCTTAAAAACACTGTTTTGCGAAAAATGTATTGAAAGTTTTAGCTCTCTTACCATCGTTTGATATTGATACGATAAATCGGGATTTTCTGTGTTCATTAGAAATTTTAAAAATACTATCTTGAATAAACGTAGGTACGTTTTAATGCCGAGAATGTGATGAGGTCACGTTACAAATATTTATTTCTGGGAGCGCCATCTATATTTCGGTTTCCATACTGTTGTGAGATATAAATTTAGGCAAAGTGTATACTTTTAGGCTGAAAATATCTCCGAGAGTTTCTCTGATGTTGACTAGTATTTTTAAAGGACATTCATGAATAAATGTAGGTTCTAATTAAATAAAGAAGCATTTTTTGAAACCGAGAATGGGATGGGGTCCCATTACAAATATTTCATGTCAATTTCTGGATGTGCCATCTATATTTCAGTTTTTATACTGTTAATTATTATAAATCTAGGCAAAGAGTATACTTTTAGGCTGAATATATCTCAGAGAGTTTTTGTGATGTTCACTTGGAGTTTTAAAATGACTTTAACATTATTATTTTTCATAGTACATACTTTTGGCTGTTAACATTTTATTGTTGTAAGCAGATGTTCAATAGTAGTCTTCACTAGGCAGATTTCTAAAAATCTTCCGCTGTTTATTTTAAATTATATATGTAGCTTCTAAAGTTATATGTAATTATTTCCAGGAATGACAACAAATCCACATCTACTCAAATTACTGTAATTTTACCGAAATACTGTCTATATGGCGGAGTAAAATTTTAATAGGAAACGACAGATTTTGGTTGTCTGTTTTGTTAATTCTGAAATACTTTCATCTAGTTTTGTCATTAGTGCTTCATATAATAAGGGATTTCTCGTCACTTGGCCCTCCTCTGAGCATAGGACCCGATTAGTTCATCATCTCTTCACTACACTGTGGTAGTATTATGTCTTTGTGCATATGTTCGTAACAGGCAAAAGGAAACGAGATAGACACATGGTTCCTTTTGAGAATATGCGTAGAATCAAATTCTGAGTCGGTTTACGCATTTCCGTCTGTCCGTCCATGTTAAATTGTAAACAAAGTAAAGGTCGCATTTATGATCCGAATTGGATGAAATTTGGCATAGGTCACTTATTCGGCCCAAGGACGAACCCTATTGAAATTGGGAAAATGGGTTCAGATTTTGATATATCTCCCATATATATATTTAACCGATTTAATGTAAATGGTCCCTATATATCTTTTGATTTGCACGAAATTTGGTACAGCCTAATCATTTAGGTCTAGATTTCATGTAAATGGCGCTCCAAAGTCCCTATCTATCTTTCGATTTGCACGCAATTTGGCATAACGTACTGAATTCAGCCTAGAGTGATGTCTGCCAAGTTTCGTGAAAATCGGTCCTGATTTAGATATAGCTCCCATATATAGCTTCGTCAAATTTCATATAAATGGTGCAGCAAAGTCCCTATATATCCTTCGATTTGCACGAAATTTGGCATAACGTACTGAATTGAGCCTAGAGTGATGTCTGCCTTGTTTCGTGAAGATCGATCCAGATTTAGATATAGCTCCCTTTTATTATACCCTACACAACTATGTTGTCAGGGTATTATAGCTTTGTGCAGCCCCAAAAGTTTGTAACGCCGCGAAATATTGGTCCTAGACCCTCCTTTAAGTATACCGATCGTCATATCTCGACTAGCTGAGTCGATCTAGACATGTGTGTCCGGCCGTCCGTCCGTCTGTCCATTATAATTTGTAAACACGATACAGGCCACAGTTATGGACCAATCTTCACGAAATTTTGCATGTAGGATGGGTTCTGCTCAATGAAGACCCCTATTGTTGTTGGTAAAGATCGGTCAATATTTAGGGGATGAAATGGACCAAATACTTAATTTTTGTCTGTTTTTCTGGTCGCTGTACAGGCCGCAATTATGGTCCGAACATCGCGAAATTCTACATGGAGAAGGGGATCGGGCCAAAGAATAAGCATGCCTGTTTTGGTAAAGATCTGTCATTATTTAGCGGGTCAAATGGACTCTGACTTTTGTGAGAAAAATTACAAAATTTGTATTCTATGGCGTATATGTTTACTATTGACGGACATAGACCCGAGAAGTTGATAGTATATCCAAGAGGAGCGGTTGACCTTTAAATTGATACCAATTATATTGTAGTATGTACTTGGATGTGGGAGATACACTTAAATATTTACAGGTGCTTACGTACTGAGATATTCTTTAGTAACCCATTACCACACTGGAGGGCAGAAATATAGAGCTGATCGCTATGAATTGTTCCATGAGGTTCCAGTAGTGGTCAAAGAGAACGACTATAATTTTCGGTGATGATCCGATAATAATTTTGGGATGAAGTGGACTGAAAACTTATTTTCTTTCGAGTCGATCTATAGGCCACAATTATAAACGGAACATCACAATACAACCCACGGTCAAGGGAATCAGGATAAGTAATTGGAAATACTGTACTGAATATTGGTAATATTCGGAAAATATGCCAGTGTAAGGAAGAGGTGCTGTTGACCTCTAATCGGGCAAGAGGGTGCAACTATCACAAAATTTTGCCAGGCTCGGAATGAAAATCCGCAGAAAGTTAGATTTCCGTGATAGTTGTGTAGGGTATCATATGGTCGGCCCCGTCCGACTATACTGCTCCGCTCACTGGTTATATATTGATTTTAAGTAATTCACGCACCAAGGAACCAATAGGCTGATAGGAACAAAACGTTCTGAAATTTGCACGATTTCAAGTAAATTGGGCATCAAACTCATGTTAGTCAGATTGACATCAACTTACAAAATTGAGCATAGAATTACGCGTTTTGTAGAAGTACAGACATAGCCCAACGGATGACCTATTTATATTTGTGTGAAGCCGATTTACATACTTTATGGATAGATCTAGGCAGATTCAAATTTAGATAAATATCACATATTTTATTTCATCCAATTTAATGTTAATAGCCCTGTTTAATATACCCATAGTGGTGAAGGGTATCATATAGTCTGCCCCGTCCGATTTTACTACTTTCCTTACTGGTTTTTAGTTTTATTCCTGCTAAGTAGATGATTGGTCTGCTATAGCCCGCCCTAGGAGATGTGACTGCCATCTATCGTTAACTAGAAACAATGTCCTCCTCAATTTTATGCAGTGATGAGTTGTGAGCGTTGCCTTTTCTCAATTTTAGTGTTATAATTTTGGAATTTTCCGTTCCCTGAAAGTGGAAATTTTTTATCGTAATGATCATGTGTGCATAAACATTACAATGATTGGTAATATCGGTTACAACAACTAATCCAGAAGCTTAGATCTCACACATAAATTTCAAATTTTTTTCTGTAATTACCGTTAGTCATTGTCGTGTTTTCCGCACCCTGACACCCAATGCCGTTAAATCCATTCATTGACATACAACGAAAAAATAGATAAAAACACACACAGTTTCGATTTTGAAACAGAGGGGATACTACGGCGTCTAATTAAACTAATAATGATTTCTTATCAATAAAATATTATTCGGGTATCCGAAAAAAATATTTGAAGAGACCGTCGCCAAAACAAACCAAAAAATGGTTTATTTGTTTGGCTGCCACAACGAAGTCAGTGCATTATTACACAGAACCTAGACAGTATAAGACTGAAAATATAGTCAGCTAAAAATATTATTTTTGCGGGACACTTTTTTAGTAGTACATAGGAAATAGACAAAATGGTTGTCAGACCCCTGCCAGAAGCCTTGCAGAAAATTGCCATAGAGGAATTAAATGAAGATCCCAAGAGAGTGGAAGCGGATTTAGCCGCCTTTAAGGAATGGATCTTGCAACAGCCACACCTGAAAGCCCGCATGGATGATCAATTTCTGATAGCCTTCCTGCGTGGTTGTAAATACAGTTTGGAAAAGGCCAAAGCTAAATTGGATAATTTCTATACGTTGAGAGAAAAATATCCTGATTTACTAAAACGTCCCAATTTGGAGGATCCCAAAGTTCGGGAATTATTGAAATTAGGGTAAGCAGGACATTTTCTTTTAATTATCGAATAGTTTTTATAATATGTTTTTTATTTTCAGTATTGTTTTATATCTCCCTGAACCTTTGACGGAATCTGGTCCTCGTTTGGTATTGGTGCGCAATGGTGCCTATGATCCTTCACAAGTTTCATTTGGTGAAGTGGCCCAACTGCGTCAACTGATATCGGATATTGTCATGATGGAAGATGATTATGCGGTGATTAGTGGTATTATTTTCATTATGGATTTCAGTCAAGTTGGAGCCTCACATCTCTTCCAAGTCAGTCCGAGTGTAATGCGCAAGGTTTCACAATATTCCGAACAGGCTTTACCCTTTCGCATTAAGGCTTCACATTTTATTGACACACCCTCGGGATTTGAGCCTGTGTTTAATTTAATCAAACCCCTGTTACCCGAGAAGATACAGAATAGGGTGAGTAATAGATGAATTTCAGATAAAGGATCATTATTTTTTCGGATTTTGTGTTTGTTTTACAGTTATATGTCCACGGTGGCAAACGCGAGGAACTTTTCAAAATCATCCCTAAAAAATTCCTACCCAAAGATTATGGTGGTGAGAGTAAAAGTATCCAGGAGTTGATTGATTATTGGGAGGAGAAGATGTTATCCTATATGGAATTCTACAAGGAAGAGAACCAATTTGGTGTCGATGAATCAAAGCGAATAAAGGAGGAGACCACAAATCCACCAGAAACATCAATGGGTTTGGTGGGCTCGTTCCGCAAACTTGTGGTAGATTAATAGTATTTTTATTTCTCCATAAATTAATAAAATTAAAAATTATTTTTTTTTTGAGAAGTTTTTCTTTGGAGAATCTAGGTATACCGAACTCTTTAAATATTTGGGGGGAGTGACATTTGAAAACATAGCCAGTCTTAATTATCCACAAATTCTAAATAGAATTTCGTAATTTATTCAGCCTCTTCCGATATAAACTCTCGGTAACATTGCCTAAAGCACTGCCAGTAAAACTGATTTCAAGAACTTTCCGTATAACAAATAGCCGGACTAACTGTTATACGTCGTGTGTACCTTATCATTTCAAAAGTTTTATCGCTCACATGAAACTTAAAGAGAGAAATTTTGACCATATCAGAATAAGATTGGAAATTTACTGAACGATAGGTAATGAGAAGGGAGAAAAAGTAAACAAATCAAATGATTTAATCGATTAATGCTTGGAATTGTATCGATTATTGACATTTTAGTGACAACATTTAAAGCGGTGTACACACTATAATGTTCGGCCCATTATGTCGATGTCGTCGGCGTAGGCGAGTAACATATGCTGTTTGGTGTACGGAGTGTCATTTCTGTTCAAATTTGCATCTCGTATGAGCTTTTCCAGCAGAATGTTAAACAGGTCACACGACAAACGGTCACTTTGTCTGAATTCTCGTTCGGTATTTAAGGGCTCCGAGAGGTCCTTTCCACTCAAAGTTATCCTGCAGAGCCGTATTAATTTTGCAGGAATGCCACAGCACGCTGGATAGCATTTTATATGCTATGGGAAGGAGACTTATTCCTCTATAGTTGGCATATATCGTCTTGTCTCCTTTTTTGTGCACGGGACACGGAATGCTGAGGTTCCAATGCTTGGGCATACATTCTTCGAGCCAAATTGGACTAATCAGTTGGTGCATGCTCCTGACCACCAGTCTTGAATAGTTCGGCTGGTAACCCATCGGCGCCTGTTGCTATATTATTCTTCAGCTGATTGATTGCTATCTTAGCTCATCTGATTCTGGGGTATCTTCTTCACAGCCACTATTTGATACCAGAAGCTTTTCAAAATGCTCCTTCCACATGACGTTAGATTTTAGGAAAGATCGGTATATGCCCATTTTCCCTATAGTATTTTCATTTCAAGTAACTGTCAGAGTATCCAATGTTCGGCCCGGTCGAACATGACTCCTCCAATATATTCAATTATAAAAAAATAATCGAGTTGCCATTCACAACATTTACTCTATATAATTAATTTTAGATAATTATTTTGACAAAATCATTTTATGACCCCCTATCAACCTAACATATTCCGAATTAGATGATGAAATTTCTAAACAACGTTATTTCCCCCCTGTATAGACTAACAACATTTAATGAATTGATTTTACAAAGACAATAAAAACAACAACAACTATTACTTATCAATATAAATTTTATTTTATTTTTATATGAATACAATCAATGATAACAAATCAGATAATTTTTATTTCAAAACAAATATCGGACTAAAATATAGCTTAACTTTTTGTTTGCAGCACAGTTCAGTCTAGTTGCAGAAGTTAGGGATAGAAGAACAAACGACCATGGCCAATATTCGACCACTGAATGAAGAATTGCAAAAAGTTGCCATTGAATTGGGCGAAGTACCATCACGATTGGCAGATGATTTGGCGGCGCTCAAGGAATGGATACGCCAACAGCCACATTTGAGGGCGAATACAGATGATCAATTTTTGGTGGCCTTTTTGCGTGGTTGTAAATATTCGCTGGAAAGAGCGAAGTCGAAAATTGATCGTTATTTTACAATGAAGAGTAAATTTCCCGAACTATTTGGTCCCATTGATGTGGATAATCCAAGGGTGAGGGAATTGCTGCGGACAGGGTAGGTTTTTCGGTGAAGTGGAATAAATGTAAAGTAAAAATTGAATATTTTTCAGAACATGGTTATACTTACCCACCCCCTTGAATGAAAATGGTCCCCGCATTGGCATTATGCGTAGTGGTCTCTATTCCGTTGACAAATTCTCTGCCGAAGAAGTTATGCATGTTGCCCATGCCCTGCAGGAAATTAGTTTATTAGAAGATGATCATGCCATTTTGCAGGGTGTAATATTTATTGGTGATTTTGAAAAGGCCACTATGGCCCATATGATGCAAATGACACCATCGTTGATGAAAAAAATGACCGTCCATTCTGAAGAGGCGGTGCCACTTAGACCCAAGGCTCAACATTTTATAAATACAATTGCCGGATTTGAACCTATTTTCAATATGGTGAAACCCATGATGTCGGCTAAGCAGCAGAAGAGGGTAGGTTGGAAAATTTTATTTCGAGAAAAGAATTTTAGATTTTTATCGTTATACCCGGTTTTTGTTTTCAGTTATATGTCCATGGCAATAAAATGGATTCACTGATCAAAGAAATCCCCCTGAAATATTTACCCAAAGAATATGGCGGTGAAAATGGTTCGGTTGAGGATATAATTGCCGAATGGGACAAAAAATTGGATCAATATAGAGATTATTTTAAGCGTAGTGCTGAATGGGGTACCGATGAAAAGTTGCGTCCCGGTAAGGCAATTGATTTTGAAAGCCTTTTTGGCATTGATGGCTCGTTCCGTAAATTGGATGTCGATTGACTTATTGATGAGATATTTAAGGATATTTTAGAGTGACAAAGGATATGCTTTTAAGAGTAATCGGATTTATTTATTGAAATAAAGAAATTGAAAAAGAAGAGATATTTTTTAGAAAAATTTACCAAAGGGGTAGTTTGTTCTCTTCGGTTGTTCTTTTCGAAGTACTCATCTTCTTCGGCTATTCTTTGAAATCGTCTTTTACTTCAGATATTCTATTGGAAAAAGTCGTCTTTTTCGGCTATTCTATTTGAAGAAGCGTCCTTTTTCGGCTGCTCCATCGAAGACTTTTTCTTCGGTACTTCTATCGAAGAAGTTGTTGTTGTAGCAGCCCTATTGCTTTTACACAATGGGCTAGGTGACAGACGTTGGCCGAGTAAGACTCGGGTCGTTTCGGATCGTAGACCCCTCTGTCGTGGAAACGTCTATCGAAGAAGTCTTTTCCTTTGGCTATTCTATGCGGATAAATCTTTTGTTTTTTTTTTTGTCTATTCGATGCGAACAAGTCTTCTTCTCCTAATCGATGCGAAGAAGTCTTCTTCTTTTTCTGGTATTCTATACGAAGAAGTCTTCATCGGATATTCTCTTATAAGATCTCTCAAGATCTCTTATTTTTCGCCTACTCCATTGAAGAAGTCCTCTTATTCGACTTTTTCATTTAAGAATACTTTTTTTCTTTTTCCGAAACATTTAATCCCCTTCGAAACCTATTCCAGAGTTAAATTTTTAAATTTTGATCGACAATTTTTATTGAATTGGTTTTACAACAACAACTACTACTTATCAATAGAACATTTTGTATATTCATAAAAATAATCGACGATAAGAACTCAGAAAATATTTCAAAGAAATTATCGACTAGAATATAGCTAAGCTTTTGAGCGCAAATCAGTCTAGTTGCCGAACTGACGGATAGAACAACGTACGACCATGGCCAATATTCGACCTTTGAATGAAGATTTGCAAAAAGTCGCCACTGAATTGGGCGAAGTGCCTTCACGTTTGGCTGATGATTTGGCTGCGCTCAAGGAATGGATACGCCAACAGCCTCATTTGAGAGCCAACACCGATGATCAATTTTTGGTGGCCTTCTTGCGAGGCTGTAAATATTCCTTGGAACGTACAAAAACGAAAATTGATCGTTACTTTACAATGAAGAGTAAATTTCCCGAATTGTTTGGTCCCATTAATGTAGATGATCCGAAAGTAAGGGAACTTCTACACACAGGGTAGGTGTTATGGAGGCTTTGTATGAAAACTTTTTTAAAAATAATTTAATTTTCCCCTACAGAACCTGGCTATTTTTACCCACCCCTTTGAATGGCAATGGTCCACGTATTGGCTTAATGCGTAATGGTGTTTATCCCGCTGATAAATTCGCCATCGAAGATGTGTTGAAACTAATCCATGCAATGCAGGAAATCAATATGATAGAAGATGACTATGCCATTCTGCAGGGTGCTATATTTATTGGTGATTTTGGAAAGTCCACCATGGCCCATTTAATGCAAATGACACCATCGATAATGAAAAAAATGACGGTGTACTCCGAAGAGGCTGTGCCACTGAGACCAAAGGCTCAACATTTTATTAATACCATTGCAGGATTCGATGCTATTTTCAATATGGCGAAACCCATGTTTTCGGCGAAGCAACAGAAGAGGGTATTTTGGGAAAATAATTAAAGTCTCAATTATATATCTAATAAAAATCTCTTCCTTCCAGTTATTCGTGCATGGCAACAAAATGGATTCGCTTTTCAAGGAGGTACCCCAGAAATATTTACCCAAGGAGTACGGCGGTGAAAATGGTTCAATTGAGGAGATAATTGCCGAATGGGACAAGAAATTTGATCAATATAGAGATTATTTCAAGCGTAGTGCTGAATGGGGTACCGATGAAAAGTTGCGTCCCGGCAAGGCCATTGATTTTGAGAGTCTTTTTGGTATTGATGGTTCCTTCCGTAAATTGGACGTTGATTAATTTTTTGCATAGGATTTTTGAACATTTGTTTTTTTTTTGTATGTGTGAAAATAAATTAAATAAATTATTTATTTAAAAAACAAAAACTGATTGATGTTCAGTTCTACCGCTAGCAGAAGAAAATAAAACTTTTGTACACTGCAACAAAAAAAAAAAAAAACAGTTAAGAAAGTAGTAAACTCGGACGGGGCCGACTATATGATACCCTTCACCACTTTGGGTATATTCAAAAGATAGGATCATAACAGACCTCGCATTTTTGAAGGACCATTAACATGAAATTAAACATGTCATTCTGCAATCTATACTAAATTTTGGTCAGATATAGAGTTGCTTCTTACAATGGAACAAAATTATGTAAAATATAGAAATCTAAACCGAATTCATCGAAACTTGTCAGATTTTAGGTTACACTAATTTCAGTATATTTTTGCTTTCGGCCACATTTTGAATTCTTCATTTACTTATAAATCCAAATTTCTTGCAATTCGAAGGACATATAGGAACTTTGGTGCACTATTTACCTAAAATCGGACGAAAATATATAGGGGAGCTATATCGAAATCTGAACCGATTTTCACGAAATTTAACACACATCTTTCTAGCCTTAATTTAGTACGCTATGCCAAATTTTGTGCAAATCGAAGGATATATAGGGACTTTGGAGCACGATTTACCTAAAATCGGACGAAAATATATATGGGAGCTATATCCAATTTCACGAAATTTTACACACATCATTCTAGACCTAAATTTCGTGCAAATCGAGATATAAAGGGATTTTGGTGCACCATTTAACTTAAATGGGACGAAAATATATATGGGATCTATATCTAAATCGGAACCGATTTTCACCAAACTTAGCACACATCATTCTAGACCTTATTCAGTAGGCTATACCAAATTTCGTGCAAATCGAAAGATATATAGGGACTTTGGTACACCATTTACCTTAAATCGGGTGAAACTATATATGTGAGCTATATCTAAATCTGAACCGATTTTCACGAAACTTAGCATACGTCATTCTAGATTTAATTCAATACGCTATGCCAAAATTCGTGTAAATCAAATGATTTTCAGGGACTTTGGTGCACCATTTACCTAAAATCGGGCGAAACTATATATGGGAGCTATATCTAAATCTGAACCGATTTTCACGAAATTTAGCACACATCATTCTAGACCTAATTCAGTAGGCTGTACCAAATTTCGTGCAAATCGAAAGATATTTAGGGACTTTGGTACCTCATTTACCTTAAATCGGACGAAAATATATATGGGAGCTATATCTAAAAATGGACCGATTTTTTCCAATTTCAATAGGGTTCGTCCTTGGGCCAAATAAATGAGCTGTGCCAAATTTCAAAGGGATTTCCTTTGTGCCAATTCGGATCATAAATGCGACCTGTACTTTGTTTACAATTTAACATGGACAGACGGACGGACGGATATGCGTAAATCGACTCAGAAAGAAGACCCGTGTTTCGGTATTTTCGGGACTCTCTTGACTCTCTGAAAGGATATTTTCGGTCCCATTTTAGAGAAATGATTGAAAACTCATATGAAACGGGGCAATAGCAGGTCAGAGTATTCTACAAAAATGTTCGCCAGAATCTTTTAATAATAATAACAGAATCTTTTAATAAAAACAAAAATTAACCGAAAAGCCAAAAATCTTAAAAATATTTTTTTTAATAATGTGTCCTAAATTGACGTCTATATATTCGGTATAAATATTACATATACCGATTTCTTTTGTTCAGTGACTTATACTAAAATTTAATGGGAAATATTTATGTCCTTTATACTATCCATCTAAAACGAAAATTATCTATCTATTAAAGAATAATAGAATTTTGTCATACATACATCCATATATTTTATTGTATTCAACCTAAGGTAACCACCAATTAATGTTTTCCCATTTCTTTCAATATTTTATCATCATTCAATATTATTATCAACAATGTC